AGAAGTGATAGGTAGCTTGAAATATCTGCTAAAGGATTTCAATTGGGTGATTGTACGATTTATTATTGAAAACCGTATCATTATCTGCCTGCCATTATATCAACATGTTTTGTTAGAGCACAAAATCATGCAGCGAAAGGATTTGGCTATGTTTTGACGCCACCTCACTTTAAGAATGGTAATTGTAGGTGGTATCATCGCCACCATACGGTTGACCATAGTCGACAGATATTCAACCGAGGTCAAAAATCTAAGTCGCTTTATACGAAACACCCTGAGTGGAATAGGGTTGGCACTATTCTTAGACGCTACGAAAGCCGTATACAAGCACAAATTACGTTGGTCCTAGTGCGACGGAATGCCTTCATATCGTACCCATTCAGTCGTAAAACTACCATCGGATTACTTGTTATTTTTTTTTCGCAATATAAAATTATTGTGTAGCAGATGACATGATACCCTAAATGGGGTAGATACCTAAAGCTTTATCCTATATTCCATCCCATGCCATAGGTATATCAAAAGCAAAAGTATCACAAATGGCTGCGAATCTACCCCTATAATACAAGAATATTTTTATATTTTTAGTTAAGGAAATAGGTACTTAGTTAGCAACATAATATAAGTTTACCTATTTGTAAGTATGTTAAATTTATAATAAAGAATTTGTATTTTGTATCTAAAAACGAATAAGTAAATGATTTGCTTACCATTTAGTCTTGATATATCTAATTATGATTTATCAATATTAATAGTCGACACATGGTCCTTAAGGAACAGCATGTTTCAATTATAACGATGATCACAACACATGTCAAAATAATTTCATTTAAACAAACAAACATACGGGAAGCGACCTTCATTATCTGTTCTAATTCACCATCTGTCTAACGACAATATAACTATTTATTACACCTAATTAACTAACGCTAGTTAGTTAAAAAAACAACCCCTAATCATATCGCAATTAAGTCTGTTTTACGCCAATTCCTCAAAGTTTTTTAGGGATCCGCTGTCGATTACGCTAAACGATTTTCAGAGATGATTAGAGTCAGAAAAAAAAACAAATTAAAAGATGGACCTCATTCAGGCTGACTGATAAAATACTTAAGGTGGATCGTTACGTCATACAAACGAAAAACTGCACTCCAGCCGTGCTATACATGAGCTGCAGAGCAAATTTTTGAAAAAACTTCATGTGAAATGATGAAAGGGCACGTAAATTTGTCGCAAAACTACTTATAGTTAAAAGATAATAAGTATTTTCTGCACAATAAAATTAAACGTATTTTTTGCAGCAGTAGCTCCATCTATTTTTGTAAAGTGGCGACTCGGTTTTGCAGGAAATCTGATGGTTTAAAAATTCTTTTTAGGGTTTTGCGAAAATGTTATATACCCACGGGACTCCCTATCAAGTTTTTTAATTAGACTTGTGTCTCCTTTACAGACATAACTCCATTGAACTTTTGTATGGAAACGGAACGCCTTAAAGGAATGTCCATAATTTTTTCAAATAAGTATCAAACAATTTTGGGCTAGATTCGTACGAACGTTCAGAATATAAATTTTAAGGGCTACTTTAAGAGGAAATCCTTTAATAGCACTTATCTTGAGACTGAATTGTTTTAACTAACCTACGGCAACAATGTAGCGATAAACTAGGCTAAGCCAAGGACAGGTTTTATGACCAAGCTTCTTCTGTAAGTAAACAGGTATTAAAAACTTAACTATTTGATTTAAAGTCAACGCACGTCAATGTAATGTGACAGAGGAACGCATACTTATTTGATACTTAATTATAAAAGATGGTTTTCTGCCTTTTTAAGTACCTAGGTAGAATATTTTATTACAATGCAATGAGGCAATACATTGTATCAAGGTTTAAAAACAGGTTACTAATCAATCACAAGTGCTTCTTGATTTGACCGCTTTCATATCACATCACATCAGCATCAGCCTACAGCTGTTAGGAAGTAGGCCTCCCCCAGGCACCACACCATAAGGCACGATCTCTCGTTTTAGCCACCCAGCCGCTACAAGTCGTCTTCTTTAAGTTAGTCTACCTGTCAACGTTCTATCGATACCTACCTATCAGTGGCGAAGGGTTCATACATGCCGATTCCCACCGGCTTCCCTTTCGGAAATTTACAAACTTATACTCTCACATCAATCTACTTTCATTTTGTACCTACATTTTTCTGCTCCGGCCTACCTTTGCTAAAATGTCACCCTTCGCAACTGCTACCTTTATCATGTGAAAAGAAGCTACGGAACCAAACGCCCAACATCTAAACGCGCACTTGGATAATTTTTTACAACGCCATCTGACCGAAAAGTGCCTCTATTTTCAAATCAAGTGGGTGTAGATTCGTACGCAAAGGTGTCGTTAACAAATATTTGTGTTTCTCGGGTGTAGACGTATAATTACGATCAGACACCTTTAAGGCTCTGCTGGCGCCTTAAGGCTATACACTTGTTAAGGAATAAAAAATAGAAAAAAGATTATCGATGGTAAAGTAAAGGTGTCTGAGATTTAGTGCCGTTTTGAAAAACATACAAAGTAGGTATAGTGTGGTTTAAGACCCGTTTGTGATAGAATAAACATAAGACCGAAAAACAACGCAAATTCAGGCAGTATGTTGAAACCACTTTTTTCGAGAACTAAACTTCAGGTGTCCAAGTTTCAGGCAGAAAATCTTAAATCTGTATTAATTTCTGACTGCGATTCGAGAAAACAAATGTCTAAGCTAAAATTAGTGCTGTCACTTTAAGTCAAATAGGTTTAGGATAGGATACCTAGTAGGTATCTAAAAATGTGATGTTTGTTTTATAATTTGACGCAAAATCATCTGTCAAAATAAGGTGACGATAAAAATTACTTAGACATGACTTAGATTATCTTCTATCCTTTTCTAAACCTATTTGACGGAAAGAGACAACACAAATAGGTTAGAACAATCATTATTTTCTCAAATCGTGGCTTCTTTCTGTGCTCTTATGTCACAAATTATAATTACTGTTAATAATTACGTAAGTAATAGGTAAGTAGGAAAAGGTCAAGCTCTAATTCTTGACCATAAAATACAGCAAAAAACCTAATCATTTTATCACGTCGATCAATATGGTATCAAACGCAATTAGACCAAATAGAATCACTTATGATTTTTATAAATGGTGATTTATATGTTATTAATTGCGACATTCTTCGCTGACAGTATGATCAGTGTGATCTAGTGTCGTATTATGCCTTTTAGGACGATAATAAGCTGTAATCAAGCGTCGGGCCACACCTAAGGAACCCTTGTAGCGGAGTTTGGCTTGCAACTTGCGAACCTATGTTACTAGACGCAACGTCACAAACTCTCACTCAATGCTAGCGACGATTTTGGTGACTTTAACTGAAAATAACTGGAATCGTCATAATTTCTTGGATTAAAATTGGCTCAGAATCATATGAAGTTCTTGTACCGATTTTTCTGTTTTGATATCCTTAATACTTTGAGATTTATCCAGTAACAACCCTGGCTATGTACCTAACAAGTGACAATCGCGCAAATCCTAAATAAGGTCGAGTGAACCTTCTGTAAATTCTGTATTTTTTGTGACAACGTCCTCAAATTACTTTAAATTAGAGAGCCCATCGAGCTTCAGGGTTTCACCCGTTGCTTGCTAACCGTTATTCCATGGGAAAGAGATATTTTTCCATAGTAAAAAGTAAAGTATTAAGAAGGCCTATGTGTCTGACCTAGTGCCAGTAGTGTCTGAACAACAAACAAAATTTCACAAACAAATATTTTCTCATGCGCAGATTCAATGTAACTATTAACCAAACAGTTCGTAAGAATAACACTGCAACATTTCAAGCAGAAAATGCCGTCCTAAACTATACCCCTGGTGTGGCCTGACGCTAAGAATTAATTAAGGGCAGGCTCTCACTATGGTGTGATTGACAAGATTCAAGTATGAGAGGAATGGAAGGATACAGGAAATGGCTCCGGGGAACAACTTTATAGCAACGTAATTGGTGATGATAAAGATCTTGTAATATAGTGAACAGATTATTAAAATGACAAGAATAGGGACTAAACATAGGTATATTACAAAAAAAGTTAGACATGGTATAAGTAACTTGACAACGTCAAATCGTATGTCAAATTAATTTGAACACTATCTTAACGCCTAACTTTTTTGTAATAACACCTATACTTGGGGGTTTGACATAGGTAGGTAAATCAATGGCAACCTTGAGGGTAATTTCAGTAGAAATAAAAGAGGGTAAATCAAACAAAATGAAATCTTCGTGAGTAGAGCCTTTTATAATATACCTACCTTCTTATCTTTCAGATGGCAGTCTGCTCGATATCGTTACTAAGGATTTTCTAAGTTAAAATTAGGTATCTAATAGGACGCTCACTAAGCAAAACATGCACAAAATCAAAGTCGCACAAAGAGCTATGGAGCGTTCTATGCTAGGCATCTCTCTTGTTGACCGCGTACCAAACGTTGAGATTCGACGTAAAACAAAAGTCGAAGACGTAGGAAAGCGAATAACAAGGTTAAGGTGGAAGTGGGCAGAACACTTGGTGAGACAGGTGATCGGTGGACAAAAGCGGTTACAGAGTGGTGGCCAAGAGGGCGAAAGGTCAGTGGGCAGACCACCTGCTCGATGGTCCGACGATATCGTCAAGCTTACAGGACCGCACTGGACGAGGGTGGCACAGGACCGTAAGGATTGGCGCTGTAGAGAAGAGGCCTATACCCTGCAGTGGGAGGATGTGGGCTGAGAATGATGATAATCTAATAGAGAGATAACGCGTGGGGCCTAAGCTGACGCTAGAAATAACAAGAGCCGATTCGATAATCAACTCTCTTTTTAACACGGTTAAAAAGAAGGAAATTTTCAACATAATTTGCAACCCATAACGATCTTTTTAGAAACTACTATCGTCGCTTGGTGACGATCATCAAGAGATTGAAAATTTTGGCAGGCATCCACCGGTGCATCGATAGCTCTGTGGCGGAGCGGTGGTGGGTCGTCGACCCATGCGGCCCGGGTTCGAGCCCCGGTCGATGCATGATTTGATGACTTTTCAATTCCTTACTTTCATTTACGATCTATTTAGAATTCTTGCAACATAACAACAGAGAGCAATAAAATACAAATATGGCTAATAGATTCCGACTCCCATGGCGTGTAAATTACACACTATTTACCTACAATAACCCATACTAATGCCTTCGACACGTGTGACTGGTTCTTCAACCGACTTTACGAAGGTAGTTGTGTATTCGACCTGTACCAAAGAATACTAACTATAGCTAACCGCTCCTGTACCCACATCCATATATCCGCGAACGAAACAGTACGAAAAAATCTTAAATTCATTGTTAGCGATGTCTAAGCATTGGTGCTGTAAGTAAACACACAATAAAACATATATCACGCCTTATAAATTGACAATTAGAAAATTGATAAAATCATTAGCGACCGCCGGGACTTGAACCCGGGACTGTGGATCACCGTTCCACCGCTCATTTTTCAATTTTCTCATTTTCAGATTTATGAGAATAATATTGCGCTGTGAGTATATTAAATATTCCAATACATATATCACGCCTATATCACTTCCTATTGACAGAGCGTAAACGGCTGTAAAAACGACCATACCATGTACACAAAAATTTTAGAGTCATATCAACAAAGTGACAAGTTGTCAGCCTGTTTCCTAAAATTGCAATACCCATCAACTCTCAAATCCCTGAGTCGCTTCTTACGACAACAATGGGAAAGGTGATGCTATTCTAAGCCGGCACCTCACGGCATGATGATAGTGTAGTCTACAAATACTGAAAGGTTAATCAGGAGGTCCCTCGTCCCGATGAACTACAAGATAGAAGAACACTCAGAAAGAATTAGATACTTTTAATGTGTAAAAAAATTGTGTTTGTTTGGTTGACATATGTCAAAACTACTTAACCGATTTCGATGATTCTTTTATTATTCCAGAAATTTTCTAACTAAGGGTCAGAGACGCCACAGATACTATCACAAAATCGATATGTGTCTCCTAGTTTCTTAGACACACGCTACAAAGTATTTATCGACTGTGAAGTCAGTTCAATTTTTTGCTATAATTGTACCTTGTTATGACTTCTGTCATGTTTGCACTTGCAGGAATTATAAAAGGAGGGTTGTTGCAATAAACATTTGAAATTAGCTATTTCCAGTGTTAGCACCTTTGGTAACGGTCGAAACACTAGGATACCTATAAAATATAATGATTGTTCATTCATGTGGTGAAAAAGTAATGATTGGTATCAATGATACAAGCAGGTACATAAATGAGAAATTAATGATGATCGACCAATCCTTAGGAAAAAGTATATAATAGCAAATTAGTATTGCATGTAAGTAGATTAATAAAATAAAAATTCCGTGTGGTCCCCGCTTAGAATAGCACCATCCCATATCTTTCCCGTGGGTGTCGTAAAAAGCGACTAAGGGATTTGAGATTTGATGTGTATTGCAATTTTAGGCGACAAGCTGACAACTTGTTACTACGGTGCAATACACAGTTTTCTGAATGACTCTCAAACTTTTGTCAGACGTAGTGTAAATGGCCGTTTTTACAGCCTTTTACGCTCTGCCTAACCCGCAAGATATATAGGCGAGATGTCTGTTTCTATATATGTATGTTAATAAAAAGAATAACATGTTTGTTGAAAATGATTTTCCAAAAGTAGTACTATTCTCATTCAATGTTATCCGAAATATGCAAAGTAACAATTATTGAGCTGATAAACATTTTATAAACATTTTAATTTTAATCCAACTGTTTTCTCTCTATTAACCAATCCGTTACTGTTCGTGACCAACTCAGGAATCGAACTTTCGTCCCACCCAAGCAACGAACAACTTCATCATTCCCAATTTCTATGTCACCTGAGGCTATAGTCGAGAATTTTATCACTATCGAGCTATGATTCATTGAACTAGACGAAATAGATGATGATATAGACGATAGAGACCAAATAATGAATAATATATTGCTAGTTACATGAAATGTGACGAAATATTTGATGATAGAGATTAGAGACGATGAAATAAATTATTCACTGCCTGAAGCTAGGTAGTTTTATTAGCACCGTTTTGTAGCCGAGGCCCCCCAAGGTCAGCTGATGCGTTTTTAAAATGGGTATAAGCTTTGGTAAGAAGATGGCAATAGTAGGTATTTTTTGATCTTCTAGATACCCACCTTACCTATAACACTTGCGCGTAGCCTTTGGCGATTAACTTAGCAAAATTTACCAAAGTTTAACGGTTGTTAAAAAAGATCGAATTGAATACCTCCTTCATAAAATTGGTTAAAAATTGCACATACATTGCAATAAAATTATACGAGATATTGAAAAAATTAAGCATTTTCGAGTTGAAGGCAAAGACATGACTTTATTTGTAAAACTGAAACTGAAACTAACTCTGAAACTGAGTGCTACAAATATCTAGATTACTTCAACACAAACTCATCAACATTTTAAAGCTAGTATCATAAATAAATAATAAAAATCATAAATCAGAAGAAAATATTATACCTAGCAGCAAAACAACCGTTAGGATTCTCCCCCAAAAATCGACCTACCGCATGAAAAAACAAAAACCAACAACATTTCTACACATCGTTATCCACCAAATAGAAAATAACATGCCTCAACAACGCAACCAGTAGGTAAACTCAGAAAAAAAGGTACAAAAACGAAGGTAGTTTAATATAATAGAGGGCCCGATCATAAATAATAGAATCATTAACATCTGCCGCTATGATTTGGATCATCAATTTTTTGTAAAGGCAGCGGTTCTCAAAGAGACAACTTTTTCTATTTTGGGAGACCCCAAGTCAAGGAAAGACCCTATGGGAGCGATGAGTAGGGTTAATTTTGTAGTATATTTTGGCAAAGAATTCAAATAAATTTCATCTGTTAATAGTGTACATAGAGGAAGTGAGTTGAGAGCAGAGAGTCCATGATTGTCTATTTATTACACATTATGTTTCATTAATTTTAAATTGACCATTCTCATGAATGAGTTTCAAAACATTAACTGAAGAACCTATTTGTAGACCAATAATATAGGGCAGTGGCGAAGGGTTCATACATGCCGATTCCCACCGGCTTCCCTTTCAGAAGTTTACTAATCCATACTCTGACATCAATTTACTTTAATTTTGCTTTTTTTTCTGCTTCGGCCTACCTGAGCTAAAATATGACTCTTCGCCACTGATATAGTATGAAATTTTACTAGTGACCGATAGCAAAAATTCAGAACCGGCTGGTGATAAGGAACAACTTTCTCCAAGGAACATAGAATAAAATATGAAAAAAAAAACTTGGGCCTCCCACAGTAACTTACATCAGCTGATCGGCAGTTTTGTATGGGAGGACTAATTTTTTTTTCATAGTTTGAGCTATGTTCATTGGGGCATGTTGTTTCTTATCACTAGCCTGTACTCTAGCCTGTATCTGTAGCCTGCCTCTTTGCTATCGGTCACTATAATAAAACTTCACCCTATGTAATTAATGCGCGAGTTTTCATTGAGTATTCTGACGGGCTTTGTTTCAAGCTGTGTTTAATTCACATGATCTTTAGTGGACTAATTTATACAAGTTTTAGAACCACTGTCCTATGAAAAAGTTGTTCTAGCGATGCTCAAGTGTAGCTATCGTTTGATGGGCGTTGCCGGAAAACGACGTATTTTGACGGTTATACTCTGTGTGTTATTTTTTAATTTCCATGGCTAATGCTCATGAAGCTAAAGCCTCTAACCCGAAGGTAATGTGTTCCTTAAGTTGATTGTTTTAGTCCAATGAGTTTGGTAATGGATGCATGTTTGTTGAAACTGTTGTACTTATCGTACTTATGAGGTATGACGTGGTGATCATCATTTTGTGTTTTTGTTTGCCTTAAATTAGATACGTTGATGATGTTGTGATGGTTTCGTTTCTATGCTTTTTCATTTTTTTGTTACTCTAGGTTTCTTTGGATTTCATAATGTCATCGATGTATACAAACTTCTTTGATAATTATATACTGATGATAAGTTTTTTGTGATAATGTCTCATGCGTGACGTGCAAACTACTGGAAATCGATCATATGAGTTAAACCGTTGACACGAAAAGAAGAAGCTTAGTAACTTAATCTCCTTCCATGCAATATCGTTGATATCATTTCGCTTACAGATGCTTTTATAAACAAAACAGAGTTCAAAGTTTTCAATGAGCATTCTCATCAAAATGTTGAAAACAAAAAAGAAACGAAGAAAATAAATGAAAGTTGTACTAACCAAATGGTCTGAGTGGGGGTCTCTGGGCGCACTAGGTGCCGGGGTGGGCCACAGCATCTTTGATAGCATCCGTTGGCTTTGGCTATAGATCAGCTCCTACGAAGGAGAGAAAAACCAACTTTAGTATGTCAAGAATAACGCCCTTCAGGCTTGGTATTCTTAGCTGGGGATGTCTATCTGCAGCATTCAAGTCAATGTTAGAAATTTTGAAAAGGATTGAAAATTTTGAAGACACATCAAAGTGGGTGTTTCTCCATGTTTCATTAGCTCAAAGTTGATTATACTAAATTACAAATGAGTAGGTAACAAGTTTAGTGTGTCAAGAGTTATCTGCACCAGCCTTCATTGGTAGTAAGTTGACAGATTTTGAAAAGTGACTAAAAGTGGGTGCTTTTAGATTGAAAGATACACTTAAAAGACTTAGACAAATAAATATTAAAGGTAACATAACAAAACATAATATAAAAAAAAAGAAATATGAGATGAAAGAGAAAACATTGCAAAATACCATCTGAATGAACATCTTCGACAAAACAATGGATATAATTACGTCGTCAAAATATAATTCCAACAATACTCTGACGTTAGTATTAAGCAATTCCGATAATTGCCAACAAATATGTATTAAGAATATTTTATAATCGTAGTTTCCGTTCAAATTCCCGGAGCTCTCGACGCTCGAAGCATTTCCTTGCACATTAATGACTGATTCCGCAAACTGGCAGGTTGTCTTTAA